TAGACTCCTTCCGACATAAAGATATAACAGTGTCTAATTCAGAGCTGAGACCACATTGCTTTTTCCTAGATCAACCAGTAGTTCTCAAAGTTTAGACCCTGGACAATCAGTATCATCTGCATTTGTTTGAAATACAAGTTTTCAGGCCCCAGTCCAGACCTATTAAATTAGCACCTCTAAGGTTAGGGCCCAGAAATCTGAGTTTTTTAAATTTTCCTTGTAGGTGGTTCTGATTCACCCCAAAGCTTGAGATCCACTGCTCTGGAATAAAACATCTTTCAAAGAGCACTCTGCAGAAAATTTCCAGGCTTTCTTATCCTTAAGGCCATTCCATGGTATGAGTTATGTAAAAGTGTACCCCCAGACTCGGCCCTCTGGCATCTAGGCTCAGAAAGCCAGATGAATGGCATTGTCTATGACAAGTGATAAGTTGAGTTTGGCTCAAAATGTTCCTTGTCTACAGTTTCAATGGAGTTTTGACTTTTTCCATTTCCCAAACTCTTCTCCACACCGTATCACAACTCCTAAATACAAGTTTACATTTCAGATGGTTGGAAGTAGAGATTTGTGCTATATTTCTTTTATTTGTGGAATAAAAGTACCAAACAAAATCAGTTAGACTGAAGACCTTTTAAACTGCATTCTTCATGGATAACCCAGGTTTTCCTTTCTTAGAGCTTTTTAAGGCTAGTAGGCTTTTGTCTACTTAATGAGATATAGCCCTGTTTGGCCTCGGATGGCAGTGAAATGGACTATGAACATTGACATTCTCCTGTGTTAACTTAGTAATAGTGATAGCTCAGAACTGAAAAAAGACAAAGGGCCCTGAAGCCCAGGCTGAGATTCGCTCATAGGTTCTGGAGCAGGGAGACTTTTTCAAAGTAAGCGGCTGGAGAGAGGGCTGGAATAACTTTTAGAGTGCGCTTCTGGAGTGTGGAGTGCGTGCCTCACAGCAGAGGGCACTGCTGCATTCTCTAAGCCAGCCACTGGAGCCTGCAGCCTCTACTCCTAGCACGCACCTGTCTGCCCAGGGGGAGGATATCCCTCTGGCCTCACTGAGCCCTTGAGCCCAAAGCTAGAAGAGGTGGAGGGAAAAAAAGGAGAGAAAAGCTGCTGTCCCACCCACACACAGTTATTCCCTACCAAGCAAGAACTCTTAGTAGCCCAAGGAAGAAACTGTTGGAAGCACTTCCACTTCCAAGTGTGAGGAGGGGTCCCTGACTCATTGCCTATCCTAGTAGGTCATTTCCTGATAATTCTCCCCAGAAAGGTAGAACCAGGCCCCCACCTGGGAAGAGACTGGTACACATGCATTCACGTTTCAGTAATCTTAGTAAGTGGAAATTCTGAGTTGCAAAACAAAACAGGGCTTAATTAGTTATCAACTTTGTGAAAAATTATGTTTGCCTAAAAGGCAACATTTTCCTATATAATTTTTCATAACATCCTCCTACTGTATAGGTACCATGTTATTGATTCATATTATTTTCAGGAATAATAATTTTCAGGAACAACATATTTCAGGTACTACATTCAAGATTTTTTATGACCTTGTGTTTATATAAACTCATTTAATTTTCACAATAATTCTGTGAAGCAGGTACTGATTATTATGCACATTTTACAGATAAAGAAATGAACATATTTCAAGATCACACAGCTAGTGAATGGTGGAGATGGGATTTGAACCTAGGCAGTATGGCTCCAGAGTCTGTGCCCTTAATGGATTTTGCTGTTACGCAAATCTTCACCAAAGAACAATGTGCCTTTCTAGAGTTGGCATTGTATTGCGTGCTAAGTATGTAGCCTCAACTGTAGGTTCTTGAGAAGTCAGGGCCATTAAGGGTTGCTTGAGCTTGGCAGATGAGGCTGAAAGCAGACACTAAGACCCCGGCCCATAGACCTCAGCACAAGGCTATTTAGGGAGTTAGCTCTGCACTACATCCTTGCTCGACTAGTATTCATTCATCATGAAGTCAAGTAATAAAACATGGGAACTTTTTGGCCTAAAAACTGCTTCTGGTTGTCAATCTCTGCCTAGGACCTGGCTGACCTCTGCTATAAAGAGGGAAGAACATTCTTTTTTTCCTTCTCAGGAGTATAAAGTGGGAGGCAGTAGGATTCTCTTCCCCATTCAGTTCAGGTAAGTGTTTAAAAATATATGTATCTGGGGTTGTCAATTCTGAGTACCATAGATATTCAAATATGACACAGTCCCTGCCCTCAAAAAACTGACAAAGTAGAAAACGATGCCCTCTGTTCCCATCCCTGGCCCTCTAATATATTCAGCAAAAGGAAGAACTGTGTGTAGTCACCAGCTCCAGAGCAGCAAGGTGGGTGGTGGGGGGGCTGGCCAGGTTCAGAAAATTAATTCCTGTGTGTCATTTGGGATGATACCACTTTATCCAGTGCTTGCTATGTGTCAAGCACTAGGCTAAACACTTTACTTAATATATACTTATTTAATTCTCACAACTGTTACATGTATGAAGTAGATACTGTTATCATTAATTTTATAAATGAAGAAACTAAAGCACAGAAAAATGAAGTGACGAGTTCAAGGTCACCCAGCATGTGTTGGAAATGTCATTTGAACCCAGGCAGTCTGTAAAGCTTGTGCTCTTAACTATTATTCACTATATTACTAATACCCTGGGGTAGGGTAGCTGCAGGAATTAAAGCTTAACAGTGAGATAGGACTTGATAAAAAAGAAGAAACCAAGATTACAAGTGAAAGTGGAGTAAGATACAAGGTCTTTGGACCTTGGAACCCCAATCAGTAGGTTGCAACGCCTCCCAGGGCAGGGTTTGTGTCTTAATCATTTTTGCACCTGGCACAAAGCTGGACCCATAATCAGTCTCAAAAGACATTATTGAGGTGAATAATGGCTGAGTAACATCATCATTGTAGAAAGGACTGGCTCATTTGTCATTATCCACTAGGTTCCCAACGGCACTGCTCCTTATCTAGCAGGTGTCAGCAGTTATAGAGGACATGTTTGTGGGGAGAGGGTATGCTGGAAGAGCTGTCAGTGTTAGTCTTGGAGTCATGTTTATTTTTAAAGGCTTTTTCAACCCTCCCCTAGCTTTGGTTAATGATGTGAAGCTTTCCGATCCCATGCCTAGAAATATGCTCCAGGCATCTCATTTATTCTTTAAAAAAGCCTGGCCTCTTACAGGTAGGACTGGGCCTTGCTCTTTGCCCACCAGTTTAATCTTGTTCCTGCCTTCCTGGTCCATTCCATGGGGACAGCATTGAGTAGATACTGAGGAAGCACAAGCACCTTTCCCAACCTACCATCCTACCCCACAGTTGGTTGCTGAAGGAGACAATCAGTAGAGGTGACACCCCTTGACCACATCACATCTTTGTTTATTTGTATGTCCCAGCCCTTTCCCCACCACCTGACATTGTTACCTTTGCTTTGTCAATTCCATTTTGAAACTGTTGTTAGAGTGGAGTGGAAAGTGGGACATTAATAGGCTCCCCAGCTACATGTTTTCTAGCCTTGTTGGAGGGGAGGGCTTGGGAAGGGCACATTGAAGGTAGGATGGAGCTGAGGGAAAACTGGCCTTATGCAAAAGCCGAGTAGCCAGATGTTCACTTTCACAGCTCTCCAATAAGACTGGCAGGGCAGATATAGATTAAAAAGAAGCACAAACTCCATTTAAAGTGCATTACAGCTCAGGAACCAGCTCCCCCTGGGCAGGGGGAGGGAGGAAAGGGCACAAGAGGCCACATCAGTCTCCTTCCTTATCTAGGGCCACATGTCTCTCTCCTAGCTTTGTGAAGGGTGATTTACACCCCTGGCTGGAATGACTCTCTTTCTGGGCTGATTACATCGGCAAATGCCCCCCAGAGGCCACAGCAGGATGGCCATACTCAGAAGCAGCAGCCAATAAATCTCAGAGGTTTATATTGCGCTTCTCAATACCCTTCCTCCTGGCCTTCCGCCACCGCCGGCTGTGAAAGTAAGGAAAGGGCTTTGTTGAAGGGTTAGGGGATGAAAACCTCTACTTCCTTTCATCACTCTCCTTTTCTCTCTTTCTAAGCACTGCTTTATTCTCATTCTGTAAGTCCATCTGCCTCAATATTTACCCTGGGAGCAGGTGGGAATTGGCCCTAGGCCCAGTAAGTACCCTTGTCCTTATGGATAGAAATCTGGGCTCTGGGCACAGCTGTGTTTCTACCTAGCTGTTTAATCTCGGGAGAGTAGCTTGCTCTCTGAAATAGCATCTGAAAATGATGAGCCTCCTAAATGGTCTCTCCAGCCACCTTCCTCAGTGATCTTGCCTTTCTTCCAGGAAAATCTCTGCTATTTAGTCTGAGGAGTGTTTAATCCTTCCATCCTCCCTCATGACACTGTAGGGGCCGACAGAGTCGAGTCTGGCAAATGTCCTGGGATCTGGCATCAGGTCTGCTCCCAGCTGTTTGGGACCCATGTTTGCAGTATGTTGGGGTTAAAGACAATGAAGAAATCTTACCCTTGAAGATACTTATGAGGGGCAAACGAAACCATAAATGTGCAACTTCTAAGAAAAAATATACCAGAAATGTAAGTGCCCTAGTGCTGGTTTGTTCAAGTTGTATTACAAGATTTCACTTGTGACGGTTGTTCCTTGGGGGAGTGGGGTGGAGTGGGGTGAAATGGGGTGAGAAAGGGTGCTGCTATTTTTTGGTAGACATGGAGAATCCCCCAAATCTCCAGCGGTAGCTTTCCCAATATCCCTCAGGCGGGAGTCGACAGCAAGTTGGTCACCACAGTCTTCTAGCCGCTCCTGCTCCTAGGGCACTTGCCCTCCTCCACCCCAATGCTGGGGCTTTCTCCAAACTGTAGAAGACGCGGGGCATTTGTCCACTTCGGAGTTGGAGGGCGGCGCCCAGGACCCTGATGGGAGAGTTGGCGCCTTCTGTGCGAGGAGGGGCAGAAGGCATTGGTGGGAGGCGCAGGGGAGGGGCCCCCAGCTTGCAGAGCTCCAGTGCGAGGAGTGCGGGGAGCGCGGAGAGGTGCACGCAGAACGCCCCAGGGGCAAACTCCTTCGTGCGTACCCCGCCATGGCGCACCCCAAGAACCTGCTACCAGCGCTGTCCGTGTTCCTGCTACTGCTGCTACCGTCATTGCTCGGAGCCGGTGAGTGCCCTCAGTGCCTACACCCAACCTGCTCGGGTCAGTGCATTTGGGGTCGGGGGGGGGGGGGCGGAGGGAAAGGAGGGGAGAGTGTAAGCAAGGACCTGTCAGCACTGCTCAGACACCACATGGTCACTTGGTCCCGGCTGTCCATCCCTCTGAGCCTGAGGACCTAGAGGAGGGAGCCCGGGGTGCCAGGAAGGGGCTGGGTCCCATGCCTGATAAAGTGTCCGAACTATTGTAGATTGAATCGAATGCAATGGCCAGGGCACCCAAACATCTCCTAGTTCCTAGTTCCTCTCTCTGCTCTTTTGTGGCGTATCTGCCCAGTCACAGAAGCGCCCACAGCCAGAATACTTCCACAACAGCATCTGTAGGAGGTGGGGAGATCTCCATTTGTTCCACGTGGGCTTCATCTCTTCCACCCTCTGTAAGGACTGGGGAAGCAGATACTGGGTAAAGAGGAAAGGAAGTTACTGTTAGAACCGACTTGAAACAAATTAGGTTTGTAAATTGCTGCCAGGACATGCTAACACTGTTATTTGGTTGTATTGCTGAGAATATTGCTCACCACCAATGTACCCCTCTTAAGGATATATTTTTTGTACTATTTTGATTAGAGGAGAAAACTCGCAATTGGGCAAGATGGTTTTTCCTTACAAGCTGCCGAGCAGTGCCTTGCTCTGTTACTGATATACAATTGATATTTTGTGGAATATGTAGTTCAGGACCTCATTTCTGAACCATGTCATTGCCTTAAGGAAGGGCAGCCTGGGATTCATGATCCCAGGAAATGGGCCCATGGCCTTTTGGAGTGAGATGGGTGCTTGGAACCTCATTGTGGGGTTCCTGCCCAGAGCCTGAGTGGAGGGAATACTAAGGCAGAGACCATGCATGGACCGTGACCTGCATCCACAAGGGAAGTACTAGAGAAATGCAATCTTGACTGAAAGACAGATACGGAAGGAAGGAGGGAAAGGACTAGCCCATGCAGGCTGACTCCAGCAGTAAATCAGGGCAGCAAGACTTCACTCATCTGATTTGACCACTCAGGACATTTCACTAACCCTAACAGTATGGCTGCCTGTCAGGATCAAGGATAAACATGGGGCAACTTTTCCTCACCTTCTGTTGAGTTGCAATGCTCCTAAATTCACTGCTGCTCAGACTTGAATGATCAGCTTAGAAATTGGAGAGGTTTACGTTTGCAAATAGTTACAACTCAATATTTAGTTCAATTAAAGCAATGAGACTTGGACCTGCTACATTTCTTACAGCAAGTACTAATTGGGTTCCTACCAGAATTAACATCTCAAACATTTAGTATTTCTCAAACTATTTAAAATCACACCCTCCTTTTGGTGAAGATTAAAATCTCATGCCTTTCTTAAATATCTTTTGAAACTTCAGAAGCTATGCTTTTTATCTTTCACTTATACAGTTATCAAATATACTATTTTTGAACCACATATTCCATTTGAAAATTCTGATATACCCCTAAAAGGGGCCTAATATCTCTCTTCTTTATCCCCTCCATTCAGAAGCTCTGGTTTAATCCAGTCCTCTCATCTTATGTTTATGAAGCTAAGGTCCAGAAAGTGAATTAAATTGCCCTATGTAGAGCTAGGACTAAGGTTCGGCAAGTGAAGGTGCTGCCAAGAAACTCAGTAGTCAAGATAAAGAATATTTTAATGTAATATTTTAAAATATATTTTATTGATTATGCTATTACAGTTGTTCCATTTTCCTCCCTTCATTCTCCTCCACACCCTCTCCTACTCACATTCCCCCCTTTGGTTCATGTCCATGTGTCATACTTATAAGTTCTTTACCTTCTACATTTCCCACACTATTCTTACCCTCCCCCTGTCTATTTTCTACCTACCATCTATGCTACTTATTCTCTACCTTTTCCCCCTCTCCTCCTCCCACTTCCCTGTTGCTAACTCTCCATGTGATCTCCATTTCTGTAGTTCTGTTCCTGTACTAGTTGTTTCCTTAGTTTTTGTTTTTGTTTTAGGTGTGGTTGTTAATGATTGTGAATTTGCTGTCATTTTACTGTACATGTTTTTTTATCTTCTTTTTCTAAGGTAAGTCTCTTTAACATTTCATATAATAAGGGCTCGGTGATGATGAACTCCTTTAACTTGACCTTATCTGAGAAGCACTTTATATTGCCCTTCCATTCTAAATGAAAGCTTTGCTGGATAGAGTAATCTGGGATGTAGGTCCTTGTCTTTCGTAAATTGGAATACTTCTTTCCAGCCCCTTCTTGCCTGTAAGGTCTCTTTTGAGAAATCAGCTGACAGTCTGATGGGAACTCCTTTGTAGGTTACTGTCCCCTTATCTCTTGCTGCTTCTAGGATTCTCTCCTTCGTTTTTACCTTGGCTGATGTAATTATGATGTGCCTTGGTGTGTTCCTTCTTGGGTCCAACTTCTTTGGGACTCTCTGAGCTTCCTGGACTTCCTGGAAGCCTATTTCTTTTGCCAGATTGGGAAAGGTCTCCTTTATTATTTGTTGAAATAACTTTTCCACTTGTTGCTCTTCCTCTTCCCCTTCTGGTACCCCTATAATTCAGATGTTGGAATGTTTCAAGATGTCTTGGAAGTTCCTAAGCCTCTCTTCATTTTTTTGAATTCGTGTTTCTTCATTCTTTTCTGTTTGGTAGTTTCTTTCTTCCTTCTGGTCCGCTCCGTTGATTTGAGTCCCAGTTTTCTTCCCATCACTATTGATTCCCTATGCATTTTCCTTCATTTCACTTAGTGTAGCCTTCATTTGTCCATCTAATTTGTGACCAAAATCAACCAATTCTGTGAGCATCCTGATCACCAGTGTTTTGAACTGTGCATCTGATAGGTTGGCTATCTCTTGGTCCTTAGTTGTATTTGCTATGGCGCTTTGATTTGTTCTTCCATTTGGACCTTTCTTTTTTTTTTTTGGTCTTGTCACACCTGTAAGGTATGAGGGGTGGAGCCTTAAGTGTTCACCAGGGCGGGGCAACCCAGTTGCTGGATTGAGGCTCTGTATGTGGGGGCGGGGTCTGAGGGGGAACAATGGCGCTTGCTCCTCTCTCTGTCAGATTTCAGTCCCTTCCATGGTTTCCCCCAAGCAAACTGGGCCTTTCTGGTGCTGATTCCATGTGGGTGAGTTTGTGTACATTGTAGGACTCTGTGGGTCTCTCCAGTGAACTTTCCTGTGAGGCTGGGAGTTCCTCCCAGCACCTCAACTCCCACAGGTGTTTTCAATTGGTGTTTTGAGGCTTTATTTACCCATGCTGGAACCCTGGGTTACTTGGTCTGTCTCACTCCCCAGTTTCATCTGGTTTATCTGTGCACGAATGTGGGACTGCTCTGTCAGCCAGCTGCCTTGTGTGTTGTGCCTGCTCCACAGTCCACCACCTCGCTCAGTCCGCCCGCTGCCACCTTGCATGCCTGGGATCTGCCAGCCACTGCTTTTTTTTGCGGTGATCCCTCTTTGCCTGGCCTCCTGATTTCGCCCCTCCTACCGGTCTGGATGAATATGTCTACTTTAACTCCATGGTTGTCAGACTTCCATACAGTTCAATTCTCTGTCAGTATTGGTTGTTTTTTTGTTTCTAAATTTTTGTTGTCCTCCTTTTGGTTGTGCAAGGAGGCATAGTGTGTCTACCTATGCCTCCATCTTGACCAGAAGTCTACAATATTTTTTTAAAATAAAAATTAATGCCAAAAAGTCCGTGATGAACAACATATCAAAATTTTAACTAAAAATATGAATGATGTCATGCTGAGGCACATTGGAGCTTGAAGCAAAAGGAAAATTCAATAATACTGATCTTGTCTTTATGCATTGAATATAGCATTGATTCTTTTTTTATTTGTTCTATTACAGTTGTCCTAATTTTCCCCTGTTGTTCTCCCTGTCCCCCAACCTCCGTTCCCACAGTCAATCCCCACCCTGTTGTCTGTGTCCATGGGTCATTCATACTTGTTCTTTAACTATGTCCTTCTCCTTATTTTCTCCCTATACCACCCCTCTCCTGCTTCTGGTCCCTGTCATTTTGTTCCTTGTTTCCACTGCCTCTGGTTCTATTTTGCTCATTTATTTGTTTAGTTCATTAGGTTCCTGTTATAGGTGAGATCATATGGTATTTGTCTTTCACCACCTGGCTTATTTCACTCAGCATAATGTTCTCCAGTTCCATCCATACTGTCACAAAGGGCAGGAGCTCTTTCTTTCTGTCTGCTGCGTAGCATTCCATTGTGTAAATATACCACAGTTTTTGATCCACTCATTTACTGACGGACACTTAGGTTGTTTCCAGCACTTGGCTATTGTAAATAGCACTGCTATGAACATTGAGGTGCGTAGATTCTTTTGAATTGGTGTTTCAGGATTCTTAGGGTATAATTCCAGCAGTAGAATCACCCGGTCAAAAGGCAATTCTATTTTTAGTTTTTTGAGGAAATTCCATATTGTTTTTCACAGTGGCTGCATCAATCTGCATTCCTACCAACAATGTACTAGGGTTCCCTTTTCTTCGCACCCTTGCATACTTGCCAGCACTTGTTGTTTTTTAATTTGTTTATGATGGCCATTCTGACCAGTGTGAGGTGGTATCTCATTGTGGTTTTAATTTGCAACTCTCTGATGGCTAGTGATGGTGAGCTTTCTTTCATATGCCTATGGGCCTTCTGTATGTCCTCCTTGGAGAAGGGTCTGTTCAGGTCCTTTGCCCATTTTTTAAATTGGATTTCTTTTCTTCCTGGCATTGAATCATATGAGTTCTTTATATATTTTGGAAATCAAACCTTTGTTTGAGATATTGTTGGCAAATATGTTTTCTCATATGGTTGGTTCCCTTTTCATTCTGATGATGTTTTCTCTTTAAAATTTTAAAAAGATTTTATTTATTTATTTTTAGAGAGAGGAAGGGAGGGAGAGAAACATCAATGTGTGGTTGCCTCTCATGCACCTCCCACTGGGAACCTGGCTCACAACCTACGCATGTGCCCTAGACTA